CAAAAAAAAAAAAAAAAAAAAAAAATTGTGCTGCGGGGAGGACGGAGCGGCCGCGGGGCTGCAGTGATGCTGTGATGCTGTGCTGGTGCTGTGTGGGGGCTTCCTCCGAAATGGTGTTTTTGGGGTGTGCGAGGGGCCAGGGGACGTGTGCCACGTGCTGTGCCCCTTTGGTGGCTTTGTGGCACCTTGGAGGTGGCAGTGGATGAGCAGTGTGGTGCTGGCACAGCCTGGCCGGGGACACGGGGTGCCACATCAGGTGCCCGTGGCTGCTCACGGCTCCCGGGTTTCCTGCTCCCATCACGGCTGGGGCAAGGGGACGGTGTTGGGGACACGGGGACAGCGTGTCCCAGGTCCCCGTGCCCGTGGGGAGGCAGAGCCCAGGGCGCCGGGTGCTGGCTGTGGCACCAAGCTGGGGAGGTGGCAGGAGGGACGTGGCTCTCTGGTGCCAGCCACGGCACCGGGGTCCCCTCTCCAGCCCCTTCCTCGCGTTCCCAACCCAAAATCCCAGATGAAACCAAAGCGCCGCATCCCGGCCAGGCTGGAGCGGGGGTCCCACACCTGCCTGGCTTCTGCTCCATCACTGCCAGAGCCCCCCGAACTCCCCCTGCAGCATCTCCTCCTCCTCCTCCTCCTCCTCCTCCTCCGGGGGCTGCTGGGGTCCCCCCCTTGTCCTCGGGGTGCCTCTCTGCATCCCAGTGGGTCTGAGGCTGGGGACAAGGTGCCACTGTGTTCCCAGGTGCCAGGCACTGTGATGGGGTGTCCCCACCCCCGGGGGCTCCTCCGATGTCACCGAACGCCACGGCCCCGGGAGGGGGGGGGTCGTGCCAGTGTCCCCCCTCCCTCCTGGGGATCGCTCCCCCGATCCCGTGCGGGGCTGAGCCCTGCCCGTGTTGCCCTGCCAGCCCTGGGATGGGGACACCGGGGCACGGGGGGGGGACCCGAGGGGCTGGAAACCAGAGCCCCCCGCCAGGGCCAGGCGTGGGGTGTGGGGCCAGCCCAGAGAGATGACGTGGTAGGACTTTCCTTCGGCATGCTGTCCCCCCCTTGCTGTTCCCCGCTTTCTCTAAGTGTACTGTATGTTTGACCTGTGAAAGATGTAAACTTTATGATTCAGGTTATGTCTGTTCTTAACTCTGTATCTGTGTAATAAAAACAATTTAATATCAACCAGAGGCTCCTCGCCTGGGCTTGTGCTGGGTGCCCTTGTCCCTCACTCCTGGCAGTCTGTGTGCCCAACCCTGGCTTGGAGGATTCATTACATTGGGGTGTTCATTACATTGGGGGGGTGTTCATTACTGCCCTGGGGATGCTCTCTGCAAAGGTGGGGTGTCCATGGTGGGGGGAACTCAAAGGGATGTGTCCCACCTGCTGCTGCCGCACCCTTGGGGTGCCCCCTGTCGCTGTAAGACTGGGGAGCGGTGAAAAAACACAGCGACACAGATTTCCTCCAGAAAGCAGAAGAAGCGATTTATTGCAGGAATAGGCACATTTTTATAGACCGGTTCGCTGAACCAAGGGCAGAATAAGCTCATTGGCCCAAGGAAAGCAACACCTCTTGTAAACATGCTTTTACCAAAACATCACGTTCTTCACGCACTCCTCCTGTCCACAACACCAGGTGCTAAACTTTGTTATTAATTCTTTCCCTTCTGTTTTCCTTTGAGTAGCTCGGGAAAACCCGAGCTGCTGTTTTTCCCCTGGCTCTCACCAGCACCCACAGCCCCACCGGGGGGGCCGGTGCACCGGGCGGGGCGGGGCGGACCCTGCCCACACCAACCAGCCCCAGCTGAATGTCGGTACCGGGTCTCGAACCTGCGGCTCCCGGGGCCGCCTCTCGCCGCCGGGGGGGGGGGGCGGGGCCCGGCGCGCGCCCCTCTCTGATTGGCCGCTGATGTGTGAAAGTGGCGCGCGGGCGCGAGGCGCGCTCGTGGTGGCGGGAGAGCCGCACGTGGTCGCCGCTGGCGCGGGCCGCGCGCAGCAATGTTCGGGGGCCGGGCCAGGTGCGTGCGGGGCTGGGGACCCGCGGGGCCTCCGCATGGCCACCGCTAGCCCACTGCTCGCCCGCCGCTCGCCCACCGCTGGGCTACTGCTGCCACAGCTCCCCGGGCTGCAGCGGAGCCGGGTGGGCGAGGTCGGTCCCCGGGGTGGGAGGGCGTGTCCCTCCGTGAGCCCCTCGGGGGTTGGGGGGCGCGGCTCTGCCTTCGCTACGGGAGGCAGAGCTGCCGCTGCTCCCTCTGTGCAGCCGGGCAGTTGTGCTGCTCCGTGTCCCTCCTCTTTCCGTTCCCTACCCGCCGGCCGTGTGCCCCTGCGGGTTTTTCCACTCTGGGGCAGTCGCCTCTGCAGTCCCCATGAGCTGGGAGCCGGTGTAAGCTGGAGAACTTTTGGTCGCACTTTGCATTTCTGGGGTTTTGGTGCCCAGGGAACCAGCTAGGTGGATAATTAATGTCACCTCTTCATCCTTCTGCTGGAAACGCCCTGCAAGCCCTTGCCCGGCTGCTTCAGCTCATACGTTAAATGGCTGTTGGTTCAATGTCCTTTTGCCCCTTGTCCCTCCCAGTTCACTCTTCCTGGACACTTCAGAGATCTGGTGGCAGGACCCACCGTCCCTGCAAGGGGACGCAGCGTCCTGGGACGGAGCAGAGGTGGCAGCCGTGTGTAAAGCAGCAGATGAGGGCTCCGACCCGAGCCCCCAGGAAGGGAACAGCACGGAGGAGGAGCACGATGTTCAGGACCCGGTGAGTGCCTGCCTGGATGGGGAGTCAGTTTTCCCTGGTGCCCAAAGGAAACGGAGAGCTTTTTACACCTGGGCTATCCCTGCTCCGTGTGCTGCTCGTGCAATTCTTGCTTTGGGATTCAGGAGCTGGAGGCTATCAAAGCCAAACTGCGGGAAATAGAGAAGGAGGATGAGAGATTGAAGGAGTTGCAGCTGGAAGCTGAGAACCACCTGTTCATGAACTCAGAAGCAGGTATAGGTTGTCCCTGGGTGCTGTTGTCCCCCCTCAGGGGCACCTCTGGGCCACAGGGTGACAATTGGAGCCAGAGTATTTGGCTCTTCCTCTCTGGGCACCTGGGACTGGATACATAAGGTGGATGAGGGAGATCCCAGGCCTGGTGTGGTGCTAATGCAGATTCTATCAGCTTACCTCCTACCTGTGTGGGCCCAGATGTAATAAATTAATTTAATTGTATTTAATTCAATCAAGTAATTGAGTTTAGTACCAACAGTGCCAGTAGAGGAGTCACTGTGAAGATAAAAGGAGCAGGGGGGTGGAGGAGGAGGCAGCAATGTGAGGATTTGGATACACCTGGATGTGAGCAGGGATCTGAGGAGCTTTGCAGTGTGTCAGCTCGGGGGTGGCTGTGCTGCACACAG